TCATCGAGATCGGACTTCAGACAGTTATTCTCGAAAGCCAAGATTGGCAGAAAGCAGAATAGCAGTAAGTCCCTTCTTAATTTATATATCCGTATGTTCACCACAAAACCTAACCCAACGCAAAACCATAGTGACACGCTTAAATCGCCCTCACAAGGGTTGGCTGAAAAGCCGGTCCTGCCGTGAAACGCGGAGATTCCTGAACCAAGCAGTCCAGGAGTACCTTGAGGCTTCTCGGGATCGGAGTCGCCCAACCAAGGACGCATTGCTTCCACCACCTTCGCCATCACTAGCTTCGCTGGCTCTTCCCTGTTAACTGAGACGCATTAGCGTAGAGTTTCTAGAAGAAATTCTTCCTCCACCACCGAGGTCCTATTTCCGCATTCAGAAGAATGACTCATTTGAAACAATTCCCGCAGACTACCAAACCTATTCCCGAGAGGACTTTTACGATCGAGCCCCATTATTTTAATCCACAAGAAATCCGGCATAAAATTACCGACTAATCTCTTCGTTCCTGTATTTCGGTGTCCTGAATTCCGCTTATCCATATTTAATTCCGGTGAAATTCTTCTTCAATCTTTTTCCTCTTTCTTTCGTTACTATACACGAAATAGAATAAACAAAAACCTATCTGCTCTGCTCTAAATTTCATTCTCTGGTGATTACCATATATAACATGTAAAGTTGATAATAACTATCTTGTCAATTTGTAAATTTTTCGTAATCATATTAATTAATGTGTAAATTAGTTCGTAATAATAAATTTATTAATGTATAACCTTTTTCTTTATTTTATGTGATGGTACTGTATTGTAATGCGTTAATGATAGATTGATAATGATTAATAATAATAAACAATGTTAATAATTTTACATCTCTCTCGTTCTCTAAATTTAAAACCCTAAGATCTCGTAATCGTTAACTTTGCCTTTTCAGAGATCGCATGTGGTCCACTTCCGAGTTAAAGGGATTAGATTCCTTGACTCGAAATTTCGACCGACGATCGCACTACTTGTGTTTCGCGCAGGAAAGGAGTCATAGCGTCTTTGCGGGACGTTGACCCATATTCCGAGGCGAGCACAAAAGGGTGCGTTCGACTCGCGGTACTCGCCTCTGTGCAGATATTTACGAGACAAGAGTCTGATCATCCTTCCAGGTATCCTCACCAATTCCGCTCCTCTTCTCACCAATAAAATCATAAATTTCAAATTTCTAAGGGTTTGGACGTAACAGTAAATTGTTATAATCTTTTAGTGAAAGAATATAATCAATGAAAAGGTGATTAAAAGGCAACAGATGTTGCACTGCTAGTCATTTTTATAGCCTTGTTCATATGATAACTAAAAGATGACTTTTATAAATATTTTTCAGTCGTTTTTAAGACTTCTTTTAGTTACTATATTTTGGTACGTGTAATAACATCAAATCCTTGAATTAATTTTAAGCTAAACGAAATTGTATGACTGTCAGTATACATCCCATTTATGAATCCTGTAATGCTTCTGTGTCCTGTGTACAAGAGCCATTATCTTTCATTATAGTCCACTTTGGGGACTCGCTTTCGAAAAATACTTTATTAATGTTTATTGAAACATGAATAAAATTTCTCGTAATGCTGCACTGTTTTTCTATCCTATATGGTTTTCAAACACGAGAATCTAAACTCCACTACGTCCATCTGGCGTTCAATATACTGCTCGTGGAAGTAATGAAAAGTACCAAAATAATAAAATAATATCTTTTTCATGTTGTCGTTTTGGTAATACGAAGATATCTTTTAGTCGAACCTTTGGCTGAAAAGACAACTTATAGATAGAAAGATAAAGAAAGATATCTTTTTTTAAGTCATTTTTAAGTTACCTTTTCGACAAAACTAAAAGACGTCTTATAGATATCTTTTTGTTTTTTCGAAAAGATAACTTAAAAAACGATATCTTTCCATTATTTTTTGGACATCTCTTCCCTTTATCGAAAAGACAATTTAAAAAATACTTCTCGTTATTCTCTTCTCGTTATTTTTTTAGTATTTTATGCAGTCTAGGATTGCGTATACAAGCAGTAAAATATATAGCAACATAAGTAATCTATTTTCGTAGCTTTTTAGGCGTTGAATATATTTACTAAATTGTTTTAACATATCACAATTTTGAGAAAATTATTCTTAAATTTGCAAAAGAAGAAGTATGTTAATATATTTTAGCATATTATGGTTACACGTTAAGAAAAGTTTATTGAAAGCAAAATTAAGTATGTCGTTAGGATGTTTAGCCTAAAAGAAATTTGTTGTGTTTATTATGTTCCTTCCAAAAATTTTGTAATTAATATAGAGTCAATTTACGTTAAACATATACAATTGATAAAAATTGAATAAGACTTCAATAATTAATTCAATAAAGATTTATAATGCCAATGAGAGCCAACACTGTACGTGTGTAATAAAATATTATATACATATATGTCTATCACCAATAATTACGGACGTTTCAACCATAAGTACAGACGATCATGAAGTTTTAAATTTGGACAACAACGATATTTTATTAACTGTATGCGCCTACTTCGTCATAACGAATTAATTTGACCAAAAATATTATCGACACAGTGAAGAGGATCGAATCTTATGTTCGAAACGTCTGTAATTGGTGATTGACATATACATATTATTTTATTACATACGTACAACAGTGTTGGCTCTTATTGACATTATAAATTTATTATATCTTTATTGATTAACAATTAATATCAAACATATACATGCAATTAAGGAACTATCAAATATTTTTTAATTATTCCAATTTATGGAACTTTTTAAGTTATTGAATAATTTAATGTTAAAGTTAATAAATTCGAAATAACAAAATCAATGTGTCAAATGTCAAGAATAAAAAAATATTCAAATTTTAGAAATTATGAATGTTTAAGATTTTTTTATATAATTTAAACTAAATTTATTAATTTTGACCTCAAATTAGAATTTAGCTGTCTATTTCTAAAAAAAAATCCTTAAGTTTAAATAATAAAAACATGATATAAAAACACTTCAAATAAGAGAAAAAAATTTAATTTTGGTTTGAAATGGATCTTGATGCTTGATAATGGTCACATGCAAATTTGCAAATACATTTTTCAATCTTATAAATTTGTGCATCGATTTAATTTGTTGGATTTATCAAGATCCAAGAAGCAAAATCCGCGTTTCGACGAAAAATAAAATCCTCTTATTTGATTTATTCATGTCGGTCTAAATTTCATTTATAATTGTT